TTATTTTAACCATAATACATATAGATTGCAAATTTTAGGATGATTTTATAATGATGTCATGCAGTGTACTAGGTGTACCAATAAGTAGACCCCTATTTTTTGTGAAACTCTGCATTCGTTTCGAAATATTTCAAGTACCTGTCCTATTTTAATAGTATTCGTTATTTGTTCCCATCATTCTCCGCCACTTTTATGAAACAGAAGATTAGGAACATATTCTGTATCTAAAATGTATCGCAGCCATATTGGAACTGTAGTGAATTACTTATTGGTATACCTAATATATGTATGCAGAAATGCAGACTCCTCTCGATTATTGTCCCAAACTTGAGTCCGCGCCGGGACAATAATCATATAGGGAGAAATGATTCAGACCCTTATAAATTCGTTTTTTGCCCAAAGCGCAGGCTTTCCCTCCCTACCAATGCTTCGTTATATTTTAATAACTATGATTCGATTTTTTCTACATTTAGTGCGACTTTTAATTATTTCAAAAGGGAAACAGAGAAAATTTCATTCGATTAATTTTTTTACATAAATGGAAGGCTTAGATTGGTGCCCTCTGCAAAGTGGGGCCTGAGGCTACAACCTTCCTAGTGTGGGGATAATGCCTGGACAATAATCGTGTAGAACAAGCTAAACGATAATCGAGAGGAGACAGTAAGGAAAAGTGACATATAAACATGGATCATTTGAACTTTTATCAGAAGGGAATAAATTTATGAGTGCAATCAATTACATAACGTTACTTTAACATTTCAAAATGTTGGTCGCTTTTGTTAATGGAAGATTGAATTAAATTTGTTATTGTACGAATTTCACCTAGATTTCGTTTCATTTCAACGGAAACACTTATTCATTTTTTTTATCAATCTATTACGCATGGTATGTGCACTTTTTATGCATCTTTCTCGCGGCTTGAGTATACCCATTAGTATTATTGATCACTACGATAGTAACGGTGAAGAAGTTATTTACCGTCTTATGTGATTACTGTTAACTACATAAGGTCTCTTAACCTGTTTATCGAGAAAGACAAATTAACTCGTCATTCGCATTCGACCCCATTAACTATTATACTTTGATTTGTTGTTTTTTTTTAAATATATTCGGCTAAATGACCCTACATTTAGCTGTATCATAACATCAGTAACAGCATGAAGTACATCGTATGTCGGTATTTCTTACTGGTTAGAACGTATCAGAACGTTTCTATCATCCTCAACTTGCATAAATGAGTAATTTCTCTATTGTACATATAGGGTGTCTCTCAGTTACTATACAAAAGGTGATTCTATAAGAAAAAAATAAGTCGACAAAAAGAATCAAATTTTTTCAAGTGATGCTTTGGTATTAACATAATCGAACTTGAAAATTGTTTGAATACACGGACAGTAGAATAGGATATGGCTAACGCGTCTGTCCATTGCAAGCCGTTTCTACTTATTGCCAGTATGAAGCCACGCGTTTCAGCAATTTTCTCGAAAACAAAACCTCAAGCGAAAAAAATTTGTATCTTTTTTTCGAATTATTTTTTCTTAGAATTACTTGCTGCCCGGTTACATTCCCCGACTTGAGACACCCTTTGTATGCATATAATAGTTAAACTACGGATGTTTATGCATTTATAGCATACCCTAAATGGAGAAACGAATTGATGTAAAGGTGATACATAAAATAAAAGTTCGTCTGAAACATTCCATATCATTTGTATAATAACCAAATTGTAAAAATTGTGTGAAACAAATTCCACAAGCGTATTTAAATAAATGGGAAGGAAATTGATTTGGCAAACGACATTATAGACACCATTTATCAACACCATTTATTCATATGACCGCAAGTTAATGCAGAATGTTTTTACAGTTTCTTAAAGTAGAAACTTTGGGCATTAACGTAGCATAGATAGTTTTTTGGAACTCTTTGGATTTTTTACAATATCAACAAAAACGTAAGAATTTTTTTAAAAGGTTAAAATTTCAAAAACTAATCATCGAATTCCAAATTTTGGAATGATAATCAGTAGCCAAATATGTGTACAATCGCATGATATAAATAAAAAACCCTTTTTTTAGATTCAAATAGATGTTTTAATTCAAAGAATAGGTGCCTCCAACAGTGTACGCACAAATCGTTGAAAAACCAGGCTATAAACAACTTGCACAATTTTTTTCTTTGCGAATCCTTGTTCGTTAATGTCCAAGGATTACATTGAGATAGTTGAAAAAATCAAAATCCGAAAGTGAAATTTTCGTCCATGTCGCTGTTTGCACACGATTCTATCCCACTATGGCGACGGCCGTCGAACGGACGATCGCATAACGATCGCGCGTGCAGCCTACAGCTTTTTGGAATTCGTTTCCCGTTAGCGGGACGATCGACGAGCGTCGACGGTAGCCTTGAATTCGATTCGTATCCGTGGCTCGTAATTCATTTTTCTCCCCGTTTTCGTGGATACACGCCTTGAATAAGAAGAATCGTAAATGGAAGGGGGGGTCATAGACCGCGATCGCGGTCGGAAACCGGTGTTTAGGCCGGTCGCACGGTTCACGTTGAAATTAGAATTGAGGTTCAGGGGGTCGGATTGCACCGTCATTAGTTGAACATTCTGAAACACAGTGGCTTCTCTAATTACGCGAGATTGTGTGCATCCCAGGCGTGCGCGCGCGCTTTGGTTGAGAAAGAGTTCTCTCGGGCGGAAAAAAATCGGAGAAACTCAGTTCATTCAGCCAACAAACTGTAGCTTCCGGTTGTTTCGACTCGTATTTGGTGGGGTCTCTACTAATCTCGTGAGCAAGATTGTGGACTCTGTGTAGCTAGAAGGTACATACACGAATCCGTGGAACGTGTTATAAGACAATAGACACTTTAACCCCTTTATGCCCATCATCCGGGTAAAGGAAATGTGATTTTCTTTCGGCGATAGACAGTGGTTTTTATTCGCAGGAATTCGTTGAATTGACGGCGGATTTTATACGTGTATACATATAGCACAGAACTGTCTAAGCCTCGCATGACGAACGTGAAAGCCGATGGCTGGGCCACATGTGACCCCTACTAGTATAATACTGTATAAAATATAAAAATTGATTTTTAGTCATTCGTCGGACACACTATAGAGGGTGTCCCAAAGTAGTTGGAAGTCCTTGAAAGGAGTGATTGCCGGGGTAATTTGAAACAAATATTTCCTAGACAAAAAAGTTCTCTGAGACTTTGTTAACGAGATATTAATGAAGAACTCCGGTCAATTAGTGCGCAAGTCAGCTGACTCGTCTGCGGCAACATTGGTTACGCTCTACCGCAGGAGCTCAATAATCAAATTTTTTTAAATTGCAAATTTTAAATTTTGGAGGTGTGGTGTGTTTTTACAGTAGTAGTTATTCGGTTTCTTTTGACATGAAATAATTCTCTGAATTCTTCCAAACAAAATGATGTGAACTATTACTATTATAAATATCTAACTATCTTTAAATAATGATCAAAGTGGAAAGGACACCGAAAACGCACCAATTATTGTTGATATTTTTTAATTTATTTCAGAAACTCTAAGGGTCTAGGAGAAAATCTAACCGTAACATATGATAGAGCAGACCTTTCTGCTAAGGAAGGTGTCAAGCAAAGTTCCAAAATTTATTTTGTTTGGGAGAGTCCAGAGAATTATTTCATGTCAAAAGGAACTGAATAATTATTACTGTGAAAGCACAACACACCTACAAAGTTGAACATTTTTAATTTTTTTAAATAATTGATTTTTTCAACAATTGAACGTACTGGGAAGAAACGGCTAGTAGATTCGTATTCAGCTTTTAAAGTGTATCAGAAACTCTTCTGAACGATTAGGGTGTGTGTCCCAATTACGGTCTTTTGTATTAAAATCATCATTACAAATCATACATGTATAAATAAATATAAACAAATTTCTTTAATTAAATTTAATCATTAATAAAGAAAATTCAAAGTAAAAAACAACAATTTGAACATGTTACAATGTTATAGGTATGTATTTATTAAAATATATGCATTACGCTTTCGGTGATTTCATAGAATTTCTTGTCCAGAATCTTAAGAATTGCTTACTGAACTATTTCATATAAATCAACTATAAACAGCATCTTCACTGTATAAAATGCATATTGTATCCTAAAAAGGTTTAATGCAAGTAAAAAAAAATTAATTCAGCACTTACAAACATCTTCATTTTTTCTTTTAAGTAAATTCTGTAATACCGTGAGATTTTCAATCTTGTTCGTAATACGGAGCCTCCGTGGGTCTTCCCCATAACCTCATTTTCGTTAAACCAAAAGTGTATTATAGTAAATATTACATCAATTAAATTTATTACACAATCACGTGGTTTCTTTTTAAATACATCTGCAGCTACTGAAAGGGTTCCGGGCTCCGTAATACATACAAAAACATCTGTTTCTATTTAATTCAATAGATTACACAGATTTAATTTTATTATTTAAAAAAAAATTCCTTCATAAAAAGGAATTGTTTAGCAACAGATATTGATTTTCAGTATATGAAATTCATGTAATAGTCTTTTTTCATTAATCCTCCTGCAACGAATGCAGGGTCATTTTGACCCGTCTGTAGCCATTACGGGTATTCTTTGTGATCATACGTAAATGTAACATATAAACATGAAAATATACATAAAATTTTACGCCCAATTTATTCTTGAAACCCACGTGTAATGGAAATTCAGTTACGGGTCAAATTGACCCTGCATTCGTCTGCAGCGTCAGTCCCACACTATTCCCATTCGGAAGGTTAATACACGATTCCGCGAACTGGCTTGAAGCCTCCGTAATTGGGATACATATCCTATGAGGTAGGAAAAAGGTGAAAATTTGTTGAACAGTATAATGGAATCGGCGGCGTGAAGTCAGCCGAAACACGCGCGGAATGTGTTAAACATCGTCTTCGACGTTCTCTGTCTGGTCAAATAAAAATGATTCGTCCGTTAACTTGATTTCGTTTCGTTGCACACGCAGGCGGATCATAGGCTGGAGCAGCTGAAGAAGGCGACCGACAGAATACAGAAGGAGATCGAAGAGGTCACGGAGAGGGAACACGAGCTACGAAACGTGGGTAGCATTAAGACCACGTCCCACGAGACGGTGGATTCCAAGGTACGCTTGAACCCTACGACGTGTACCATACACACGGGCCAGGTAAACGTGCATGTGCATACAAATACATTTGTGTCGGCCGTGTTCAAGGTCGTTGAACGATCGAAAGAAAGAGTAAAACCACCTCAGGTTAGTCCTTATAGGTAGGAATGAACCGATCCAAGTAAATACAAGTAAATAATCGATACTTTGGTTTCGATACGGAGTATTTTTAGTATCGATACTATCGGTTGCGATATACAAGGTGTTCGTGGTAAATTGGACCAGTGTTTTTCTCGTAAACAGTAAGTATTTTAAAAATATGGAATAGGCAGAACTTCACACGATAACCTATATCAATTCTTTATATTTACATTATTTTTCGAGAAACGAAGGTGACCTTGAATTTTTTTAATGGAATGCTATATGTTTTTTAATGCCATATGAAAGCGTGAGTCAAGACGAATTCACTCATGCCTAACACAATGACTACCAAGGTCACACAAGGTAGGAAATAAGAGGACCACACATGGATTTTTTTATGGGGTCATATTAAAGATATTGTTTATAATACATGGTCAATCGATTTAAACGATATACAAGCTAATTGTAAAATAAAAAACGCATGTGCATCCATATCCAGTGCAACATTAGCATTGGTATGTAAATACCAGGAATATAATCAACAAAGCTCAGAAATGCAGTTTTGCTAATGGAAGTCATATTGAATACGATATGTAGTCTTATCAATTTGTAGTAAAAAAATACCAGTAAATCCAATATTAAGAAATGTTCAATCTACATGTTTCTTTCCTTTCTGACCTTGTATGTACTTGGAAGTGATTGTGTTACATATGAGTGAATTCGTCTTGACCCGCGGATTCATATGACGTTAAAAAATATACAATATTCCATTTAAAAAATTGAAGGACATCTTTGTTTCTCGAAAAATAATGTAAATATCAAAAATTGACATAGGTTATCGTGTTCCCAGTACGATATACTGTAAATTCTTCCTCTCCCATTTTTTTGAATTACTTACTGTTTAAGAGACAAACGCTGGTCCAATTTATCGCGAACACCCTGTATACTCGGTATCGAAAATAAATACTCATATCGAGTGGGTCGAGTAATCGATATGAAAGCTAATGTGAAGGTGGTTGTCCTCCGTTATATTACTTTGCTAGTAAATGTTCGGTAAGAAAATATGTCTTTGTGAATAAATGTTTATTAATAAAATATATCTTCGTTAAAGTCAGAGATGGGCAAATTCACTACCTAGATAAGGTGTTTCGAATAACGAATAAAAGATTCAAACAGTATTTCGTTATTTTTAATCGTTTAAACGTGGAAATACCAATTTTTATAACAAAACAATACTTCCTGAATCAGTCGACATTTGACAAACAATTATTTCATTTTATTAACTGTTTGAAGCTCGGGATGACACTCTTAGATACTGCAGGTTTTCACGATGTATTATTCGAATAAATTTCTGCTCGACTCTGGTTAAAATGTATTATATTAAGGAAAAAGAACTTTGTATTCATTTTCCTTCGATACAATTATGTAGGTATCGATACTTTTGATACTAACAAGGGAAGACACGGAAGTGTCCCCTTCGGATTTTGATGAAACTTCGTAGGTCTGTTAAGCAGTCAAAAATAAGGGATACGTATTTTTTTATCGACTGAGACGCGATTTTAAGGGGTGAAACCACCCCTCGAAGTTTCGACCCGAAAGTACTATCTCGAAAACCAGAGGAGATACATGAAAACCTCTAATGGACGAGTTTTTCGGTTTTTTATGTAGAATAATATGGTGCTAACAAATTGTACAAAATATAATTTGTTTATAACAAAAAAATTTCAGGTTGAAACTTCGAGGGGTGGTTTCATCCCTTAAAGTCGCGTCTCAGTCGATAAAAAAATACGTATCCCTTATTTTTGACTGCTTAACAGACCTACGAAGTTTCATCAAAATCGGAAGGGGACACTTACGTGCCTTCCCTTGTAAGTAGTATTCGATACTTTTTCTCGATGCAAGTTATGAATAAAAGTATCGATTCCTTGACGGTATCGGTTTATCTCTACTTAAAGGGCGAAACGCATCGAGTAGCTGTACATCTTCTGTCTGTAATAAGTGTGTTTAGACTCTTGATAAATTCTGATCAGGAATATCTTCAAATACAATTAACGACCCATTGACGTTGTTGACATTGTAAACGAATTAGAATATTTCACGGTTTTGAATCCCCATCCGTTGCGGCAGTAGATTTCAACGTAGCAGATGGTAGACGCCTGTAGGCAGCAGAGCTGTTCGCCAACTAGGAAACTGAACGGTGTGATCAGTCATAACAGTACTTTCTAGCAAATAAATACAAATAACAAGCGGTTTGTAGCCATCCTTGCCTGTAGCAGAGTAGGAAATAGTGTGCTCGATTATTGATAGTCTTTCACCTGCAATAATACAAGCCAGTTATGTACATAGTATCTATTCACGATTTTTTGAAAAATTTTATCGACACCAACAGCAATGAAATGGTTCGAAGTAGTTTTTTCAATTTAATCCCCCAAACCTATGTTTTCATTATAATTACTTATAGGAAATTTAACCTTTTATTTATTAACAGGAATTGAGCTAATTTCTACTAAGCTCGGAAATCCCAGAAAAGTTAATCTTTTATTTATTATATACAAACCAATCTAACGTAACTTCTATCGCCTTGCGCAGAATGAAATCTGACCGTAATTTTAAACATTTGGGAAACGTCTCTTGTACACTATTTAAGACATTAATATAGCGTTTTTAAAAACTCTTTAAACGTTTCCAAAAAGTACAGAAAATATTACTTTTACACATTTAGAAAACGTTTTGAGAATGTTGACACAGGACGTCCTCAGGATGTTCCACTTTGTAAATGGGACCTTCTTAAGGCCTTTAAAGATCTTAACCCTTGTGTGGACAACCTACCCATTCCTAAATTTTTGTTCGCAATTTTTTATGTCCTTATCTAAAACAGCATTTGATGTATTATAGGAAGAGATAACTAAAAGTTTCGGAAAAATATGAATGTAATATTATCTATGTTTATCTAATATGTCAGAATAGGGATATTCCAATTGCTTAATAACCGTGAATCTTTTGGTTGCCCACACAAGGGTTAACAAGAACGTAGGGGGGACATGTGGATCTTCTCGGGACATCCTCCGAATGTACATATGACGCTTTTGTGCTATTTGGGAAGGGATCATGCTCATGCCTAGTCAGCAAAACAAAAAGGGCGATTTTTGGGAATTTTTTTTTATCACTAACCGGTTTTAAAGACTTTGTTTTACAACTAATACTTTATTCAAGAATGCATATATTATGCAACTTATTGTAGTGTGTTCTGTACCAAAATATTAAAAAATGAACGAGCAACAGCCACTCTTCTGGAAGCTGTTTTTTTAAAGACAGTTTGCGATGAGCACCACTTGTCGGAACTGGATCATCTGAAATTGAAATTTTAAAACGATTCTGTTAATATATCATTTTATTCAGGACGTGAACGAAGGGTTTTTCAAAAGATTGATTGTGGACAAAATGGCAGCCGTTTAACGCAAAAATAGGGGTTTGTGATGCTTAAACTTTTCGTTTTTCAATTTAAAAAAAAGAGTTTTTATTAGAAACCAATTATTCATCTACTAAATGAAGAATTTTTGAATTCTGAATTTAATTTTTTAATATTTTGGTACAAAAAACACTACAATAAGTTTCAGAATATATGCATTTTTGAATGAAATTTTTGTTGTAAAAAAAAATTGAGCCTTTTTTTGGTTTTCTGACTAGGCGTTACCTCTTAACTACTGTAGTTTCTGGTCTCATGATATATTTACTTCGTTTAAGCGGCACCTATAGTTTTCATGTACTAAATTTGATAATTGTATAGTGTACTGTAGATTTTGGAAAATTCACTTTAAATGTTCGAAAACATTATAGTAGAAGAACGTTCCTGCAGTGTTAATTTCTTCCATTTAGTGATTTAAATTCAATCAAATGCACTGCTGCACACATCTGAAAGATACGTTGAAAAGTTCCATTTATAGTATATTTATATATTTTTGTTTTAGAGAAGGTAAAAGTGTCCGAATACTTTTGGACGGTAGTGTACATGTCCATGAGCCGCGAGGACGATTATACGCGATTGCTGATTTAAAGATTCGCGACGTTGCTTCAATCTTGTTAGCGGCGTGACAGGAATTCTCGGTCGAAAAATTAGATCTGATTCAACTGGCTGGATCGTTTCTTCCTTGGATCGTTATGACACAAATCTGTCGGCTGAAATCACTACACACTCGATACCAAGGTAAGGGAGACCAGGGACAAACAGGGACAGACAACGGTAGAATTTAAAAAAACATCTTATTCGACGAAAAACTTTGTTTATTGGACAATATAATCAAACTTTAAAATTTAGAATATATGATACCAGCTTTTTGAAATAAGACTCTCTTTAAAATTACTCATTTGTTACTTTTATCCCTACCCCTAGGGGTGATTGTAACACCGTATCTAAATTGAAAAAGACAACTAAAAGAAAATATGCTTTTAAATGATATTTTTATTTAGTCTATAGAAAGACACAAAAATAAAATGAAACATAAATATAAAGATGAATATAAACATAAAATTAACATAAATGTTAAAAATTTTTAAAAATGCAAACATGTACGTAGTATTAACATTTATTTTTTTCCAGAAGTCAGGAATAAATTTTTCATAGTTTATTGCCAACTCGTAAGCCAATTTTTTATTTCTTTTATTGTCACACCGTAATTGATAGCGGACAAATATAACAAATAATATTGCAAAACTATTTCCTCTCCGTTTCAGAATACCTTTTTTGTCGACAAATAACAAACAGAAGGTAGGCCAGCTTGACCTTCTACAATTATAATTTTCTGACTTTTAATATGTCAAAAAAATGTTACGTTGCATAGTTTAACCGATTTTGAGGCCTGTCTGGGGGATACTTTTTTTTGTAACCCCTTTTGCAGCTAATTTATATAATTTTGCAGAAACCAGCCCATGGTCTGTCTTCCTTTTACGAATAGTTTTGGTGTTCTGAAGTGATCCTTAATCCCTTAATCGTTAAAATAGTGTACCCAGAAAACAAAAGGGCATAAAAGAAAGTTGACAGCTTAAATCGGGACAAAACTAACAGCTTGTTACTTTTGTCCCTACTAGTGCTATTTCTCATAAACACGTTATTATATTGCAAACTTAACTTATCATCATGAAAAATGTTATATCTACCTGAAAATACATTAATTATTTAATATAACAGACTGCCTTTCGGAGGATTTTACGGAACTGAAACAAAAAGATACACAATTGAAAGAGATAATGCAACCTTACTTTTGGTATACTATTTCAATAGGGTAGTCACATTAGGAAAACCGCTTACTGCTGCGTCTTGGCGACAATTGAGGTGGATGACAGATGAAATTTGTGTATACAGATGGGAGGAGAGGACTGTTGATTAATTCGCATTTGTTTTATAAAAGCTGTTACATTCGTCCCTGGTCTCCCCTACACATAAAAATGACATTTTACACTGGGTCTAGAAAATAATACTATGATGAGATAATTGATTTATGTACGAAAACGAAAATAAAATGTAGAGTAAAATTTGTATATATCACAAGTTCCCGTTTCCGAGATAATCATTTATCTCGTTTATTTATTCTCTTATTCATGCATCACAGGATAAACAGCAACGTCAACTTTCTATTATCAGCACTTAGTGTCCACGGTATCTGGACATCTATACCGTAAAAATAAATTATTGTTCTCCTCGCAAGGTGTTAACGATAAAGCAATACCGGCGAACATAGTCGTGAAAAGATTGTGAGATATAAGATTACAAACATAGCTGTACTTATTGGTACACCAACTTCTACGGCGAACCGTCTCAAGTTTCTCTCCCTCTCTTGCTGGACGAATGCCTCTCGGAAACGATCCTGCATGCATAAATACTTTCTTCACGGGGGCTGAGTTTATCGGTGTAAAAGCCTAGTTTTCGTTCGATTTATTTAAACAGAACGGAACTAACGAGTTATTACCGCGGGAAAAACATTATACCGCCGATCAGCTTTGCATTCGTTGAATCGGTGTATTCTCTAGACCTTTCAAAAACTCGATTTTTTCTGGATTTTCTGAGAGTGTAGGTTTTAGAAAGTGTGTCTGCAGATGGATTTACTCCCCAGTGTACCCCAAAAATTACGGTACAACCATTCAGGTAATAATTCCAAATGCAAAAATAAGTCAAAAATGAAAGAATAACATTTTTCTATTTAAAGCTTTATTTTCGAGTTTAATTGAGTTTGAAAATCGGCTGGATACGCGTGCAATTGAATAGAACTTGGCTAGTGCGTCTGTTCATTGCATTCCGTTTCTACTCACCACCATGACGGAATACACGTGTTTAAAATTAATATTCAAATTCTATTTTCTCGAAAACAATGCCTGCGACGAACAAAATGTATTCTTTTCTTTTTTGACTTATTTTTTCTCGTAGAATCACCCCCAGGCCGGGGTTGTACCACGATTTTCGGGACACTCTGTATGCAAGGCCGTTTCTGGCTTGTTGGCCGCCTGGGTGCACAAACAGTATCACCACCCGTATTGACTATTATTTAATAAAGAATTTGATATGCAGTGTTTACTTTTATGTCTATATATGTACATGTGTACATAGGTTTTAGAACTTATTCAAAAGCAATAGTTTTTAATTTTTATTTTCATAAAGTGAAACAAAGATTCTTAAAAAATAAATAGTTTTATTTAAAGTGAATATTTTATTCCACATATAAGCACAGAACTAACATACAATATTTGTAATAACGATGTTATGACTGATAAATTAATAACGACCATTAATTACCTACACGAATTTAATCTAATAAATATGGGTAAATATCATATGCTATCTTGCACTGTCCATAAAGATAGTTCATTCTCGTATGCGAGTAGTGTTACGAAGACCACATATACCTAAAATTACTTTGACTAAAATCTGTTTATCTAAAATCTTCATAATCATAAAAAAATGTTTTGATTACTATTCTTACTAGTCAAAATTTCACATATAATAAACGGTCTGCTGCCGCCCAGGTGCGGGGGCACCTTTTGCACTCCCGCCAGGAACGGCCATGTCTGTATGTGTGTAAAAAACAGATATCAGAAAGTCTTATGATTTAGTACTTTAATTTTAACAATAACACTCTAGACTAAAATAATTGGAAATGGGCGCATGAATCCACCATTTCAACGTGTTTATTGCATTTCACGAACGTGTTCTATCCGCAATTATCTTATCAATCGATCACTTCGGACAAATACAATATATCGATGTTCCGTGGAACTGCCGTCTTTACCTGTGTGACGCGACCGTTGTCCCTGATAACAAATCGTCGGAGTGTAGTATACTCGCTGTCAATGCCCATGGTACGATAACGTTTGCGAAGGTCGGTTATGAATTTCCGCGCGTCAGACAGTCGCGTCGAGGGAACGCGCGCGGTTCAAAGTCAGTCGATCGGCGATGCGGAAGAGAAATTCTCCCCCGGCAGATGAAATGGTAACTTCGGTGGAATAAATATACAGTAACGTTTGTGCGCGGGCAGGTGCGTCGAATGCCACAAGCTTTGGCCTCGGGTAAACTGAAGAGGACAACGTCCACACCGCAGATCCTGGAGGCGGTCAGTCTGACGCAAACCACGCCACCCTTCACGCCAAAGATGACGAACGGAGTGATATCGAGCCGAACCACACCAACGCCCCTGCGGTTCGCCACGACACCCAGTCAGAAGGGGTTGATGCACAGGTACTTACCGATCAGAATGAACACCGAATCGATATTAGGGTCATTCCACGGGAAAATCGGAGACTTTTTGGAGTAACACTTCTGATCTTGTTGACACTTGGTACGTTGTGGTCTTTAGTGATATACATATAAACGTATACAATGATATACAATGATATACGTATAAACGTATCTCGAAGGATTTTTGAAAATTTGAGAAATTGTTGAGAATTCATAAAATATAGTGTCAACCTTTTTTCAATAAATCATAACTGTCGAACTAACAAACTGATCAAAATGAGCGTTTTGGGTGTTTATAGTGGGGACATAAGAGTACCTAATAAAAATTACTTCGGTTAGAAAAGAATATTTGTTATACATTTATTTTGCAATTGTTTCAAAGCAATGTAATTTTGTAATAGCAGGACCCGTGTCGATGTGATTCGATGCACCTTTAACTTCAATTAATTTTCATATGGCCAATTTAAAGAAATGTCCATATTTGTGAAAATTTGTTAAAGAGGCTAAATAGGATTCTATCCTCATTTTTTTACCAAATTTTTCAATTGAGTCCTACTATTATAAAATGACATTTCTTTAAAATTATTGCAAAATAAATGGTTGAAAAATATTTTTTTTAACTGAAGTAATATTGATTCGGTACTTTTATGTCTCTACTATAAGCACCCACAAAGCTCATTTTGATCAGTTTGTTAGTTCAATAGTTATGATTTACTGAAAAAAGGCTGACACTATATTTCAAACAACTTTTCAAATTTGCAAAAATCCTTCGAAATACGTTTATATATCATTAAAGATTACAACATATCTAAGTGTCAACAAAATCCGAAATGTTACTCCAAAAAGTGTCTTATTCTTCGTGGAATGATCCATTATCGATTCCAGTCCTCAAGTGTATATCTAATACCGTTATCGAATAGTGTCAAACATATAGGTATCAAACATAATCGGTATATACTCGTCTTGACACTTTTACGTAAGCATCGATACCCATTCGATATTTCTACGGAACTATCGATACCCATTTGATGTTTCGAAAATGTGTCAATACTCATTTAATATCTTTTATTATTATTACTCATTTGGTACTTCGCCAAAATATTGATATCTTAGTCGAAGGAATTGCATATATTTTATCGACTAAACAAAAGATGTGTGAAAATGATTAACGCGGAACGAATTTCTATTGGTTCCACATTTACTGGGGCGTCATGCACTCGAAAAATGTAGCATATTTTTACCCGTGTATCGATACTTTCGAAGTAGTATCAAACGGATATCAACCTCTTAAGGACCATAACCGTATTTACACGGTTTCAATTTTTTGTCAGATTTCCTTTACCCCGTATTAACACTGTTCTACTGTATCAATCGAATTTATGCTAAGCCGAGTACACTCGTGCGACTAGGTGTGATTTTTTTCTTTTTCAATCATATTCTGTTGTTTTACGTCATAAAAAAACTTTCACCTTGCAATAAACAACGTATATTTATCTCACAATTCTATATCTTACCATTTTTCATACGAACAAGTAAGTACGGTTGTGAGATTTTGAAGTTTTTAAAGGGGCAATATTTTCTAAAATACTACATTGTTTAAATTTTATCGTGATATGTTATTGACCATAATGATTATTTTCTAAATCCATTAGAAAAAATTCGGAAAATTTTGACTGATTTTCGAAAAATAATTCGGTCTTTAAGAGGTTAATATTTTGGTGAAATAGTCGAATGAGTATCGACAGTTATGTGAAGTATCGAATGGGTATCGATAATTACGACAGATATCAAACGGGTATCGATATCTTCGTATAGTACTTGTATTGGTTCGGTATCGCTGCAAGAAGTATCGATATCGAAAAATTGATATCAAGTACCTGAAGCTTCGATATTTTCTATCGAGTACTTTGGTATCGAATTATTCGAATACCATCAATATGTATCGGTATCGGTTGCCCAGGTTTCTCGCCACGCGGGGAAAGATCTATAAACCGAAATCCCCGGCCAATAACACGCTGACGCCACCCATGACACCCACCATCACGCTGAACCCGTTGAGCATCAAGACGTTCAATCGAAATTTGGAGATTCAACTCGAACCGGACGATGAGCCCAAGAAACCGCCGGTTAGAAAGGGATACGTTCCAGTCGAAGAGAAGATCCAAAAGGAGCTGCACGAAATGAAGGAACGGGAAAACGAACTCAGGTGCGGATTCGACGGATTTGGAGTATTTAACCCTGTGAGGTCACAAAACCCTTTCTTCTAGAAAATGCATTACTTATTACTTCACATTCTAGTGTTCGTTGTTAAAACGGTAGTTACAAAAGGTTTTGGTACTAAATGGTTTCAAAGAGTGCTGATTGAGTAATTTCTCGGTACTATGGAATAGTTAAAGGCGGATGGTTTTAACGTTCGCACAGACATGCCTTTGAACGCAATCTTTCAAGAAAAAGTACCTTTTTATACCACTTAATATGAACAACTCCTAGTTTAAATTAGACTTGTAAATTGATGAGTTAGATGGAGCTTTTGAGTATTCGAACCGATGTGGACACAGGCACCACTGTCTGTGAGTTAAAGACGAAGGGAATCAATTTTGATGAAGATTCTGTGATAATAAATGTGAATATTGGATAGTTTATGCTGTTATAGATATTACGGCATAGTTAAATGAAAGAATTTTCGTTTATATACGGGGTGTACCACATTAACTGGGAAGGTTGAAGTTTTAGCAAAAAATGTTTGATAGAGAAGTTTCAGGGTTTAAAAAGGGGCATTTAATGGTGACGTTGATTTTTTTAAATGGGTACTCCTATTCTTATCACTAAAAATGGAAAGAACGGAAAATTTTACGTACAGATATGTGGTCACATCCTTGGATCGAAAGGACCTCTAGAATTTCATTTCTGGTGTTAAACATAGGGATTACCATTTTAAAAAATCGAATTGACCTCAGAATGACCTCTAAATTTGATTCCTATGTCATGATCAAGGTCACCATCAAATGCCCCTTTCTAAATCCTAAAACTTCTCTATCAAACATTTTATTTACTAAAACTTCATCCTTCAAAGTTGATCTGGGTTCTCATTTTTTTGGTACACCCTATATAGGAAAATAAATAAGGAAACGAAAAGTTAAGCTAAAGTGAAGTGTAATACGAATGAAGAATTGTCATTTATTAAAAAAGTCTCTAAACGTAAGTTGAAACATCAGTTTTTGTGAGATATTAGTGGATTTGTATCATGTATTATTCAAACTAGTTTTTCCTTCAAGAAATACGTACACTGTGTATCTACAATTATAGAAGTTGTAGAAACATCATAGAGATGCTTATTTTCCAAGATGGCGGAAAGAACGATGGTCGACATTTTTTACTACATTTAAAAACTGTTGTATACACTGATTGACCACCTGCTGTGCGTAATTCAATTTCTAATAACTATTTTCTCTTGCTCGAATTGAAGATGAAAGAAAAACGGTCTAATGTAACTTTTTATATTTAAGAGCTTCAAGCGGCGCTCCGTCCATCACTTTAAACGATTTGTATTAGTTTTGTACCGGAAGTTAGTAAATTTATTATGTACAGTGTAACATTTCGGATAAAAATTATTTTGAATAATTAATAATAAACAGCATCATCATCTCACGAAATCTCACCATTTTAACTTCTAACTAAATAATCTTGATATCGAACAGCATCTTTTCTCTACTTTTATTTTCTAAAGTGGAATACAGTAGAACGTCGTATTATTGTCGGAAACTCCGAAATACAGATTATTAAATCACAGAACGAGTGGACAGAAATGGTATTATTCCATTTATTTGTACTTATACATATATGAAATTGTGAATATTCTAGATGAAATACTTTTTGATTTCTTTTTCCATTAATTCGGATAATCGATGTTCTACTGTAACACTTTCACGGGAAGCTTAATAAAACACTGTTCGTAAAGATGTTTAAAAAATGTGTGCAGGAGGCCCATTATAGATTTCCAACTTATCTTTTTCATAGAATTTTCAACCACACAGTTGTAAAATCTATGAACACAAAATGCATGCAAAAAACAGTAACGATAACTTTATCAGACTATTTACAATTCAAAGAAATTTTACGTTAGTAATATTTACAAGTTAACTTTGTTTCCAAACGGATCTAGCTGGATCCAGTGTCCTCGAGGTAAATTGTTATATTAATAATGTTGTTCGTGTCAACTAAAGCTGGTCTGTGCACACGTACGTAAAAATAATCCTTGACAATTTACATTTTTTAGATTAATGCGTTCGCAAATGCTGGCCAAGTCGCAGCCGAATCTGTTGGATATCGGATACGATAATGATTCTGATATTTACGACGGTTCGAGCTCGTTAAGAAGCGGAACCTCGTCCAATACTCTGAATGAGGATGAAGCAGAAAAAGAGAGTAAAGGAAAACACAAGGTACAGATACTTTCTGGAAAAGACAACTATATCGATCGAAGTATTTCTAACGCGTCGTATCTAATCTGCGGTATTATCAAAGATTAATATTTCGTAGAGATTAATATTTTTTTCAATTATTACGTTTCAGTATTTAATTGAAGTGAATTTCTACGAGGTGAATCACTCCCGATGATAACTTCGTATAATTTCTAACATATACGCTACACTGACGAACTTTACTTCAGTACAAAATTGTGTACGACGCTTTAGTCGCTTTTGCATTATTTTTCCCCGCTGACAACGTTTCACGGACACTTTTATTTTCTAAATAAAATGTCATTTGCATTTTTGCATTTTTTGAACGCGTCTTTGAAACTTAATAGCAAACACTTTAAACCAGGCTCGCATTAAGATTTCTTGTGGCCCAGGGATATTAAACCTTCAAGGGTCTCTTCGTTGAAAAGCGCGCGGGGGGGGGCACCATTTTTGTAATGCAACATACAATAAAATATATAAATCTTCAAAAATTAAAATTTATTCTAAGTAAAATTAAATATCATTTAATCCTAACAAACGCCTGATTATAACGAACAATGCTATGTTATATATTAATATCCGATTTATTTCTGCATTTAGTACAATATTTAATTATTTCAAAAGGAAAACAGTAAACAAAATTTCATTCAATTATTTTGTGACATAAACGGAAGGCTCAGATCGAGGCCCCCCTTGAAAGTTGGGGCCCGGGACTATAGCCCCTCCCCCCCCAGACCCCACCGTAATCCGGCGCTGCTTCAAACGCATCTGTTTAGTGTTGTAAGAAGTATTTGAAATACAGGTTGTCTTTTTCTAGTGGGACTATCCAAGTCCAAATGAAAATATGATGTACATTGTTTTCTTTAAAATAGTAATACAAGTGTCCTCTTGTTATCATGCAATTTTTGTAAAAATCTTACATTTGAACAAGTAGCCCTATCCTATGTTCCAGTGTCTAATATATTACGACTAATTTAATAAAGAAATTCAATTACTTGCAGCCAAATCCACGACGTCGGAGCACCCTTATAGCACAGTGGGAAAATTTGATAGCTGCGAAAAAGGAGTCTAATGATAATGGCAATGAAAACGATTTAAACTTTTAAATAATATTTGCCGTTTTGTCGGAAAGTCAGAAACCATCTCTATATCCTCGCTTTTGTACTGTTTCGTGTTTAAAGTCATTCCCTAAATTGTTTAATACAAATCGCAGTAACCTTGAAAAATGTGCTACGATAAGCCTTCATTCTTGAACGCACACGTTTCCTTCGTGTGGATGCGTATCAGTGATTTTGTTCATGTGAAATAATTTATTTAAGATTATAATGAATATTTATTCAAGGATGAAAGCATTACCTGATTCATTATATGTTATATTTAATGTTTTTGTCTTAAAGCTTTCAGTATTAAAAAAAAGTAACTACGATAAAAAAAACTATTATATATACCCCTGTATGGGCAAAAACATATTCTTAAGTGTTACAAGCATGTATTTGATATATCCGCTTGTTAATTGTACACATGCAAATGACTGAGGATTCTTAGACATCCCATTCTAACATGTGGCATGTGTTGTATACTATGATTTACATAAGCAAGAATATATGTTACGTACTTAATTAATTGTAAAGAATAAGTATACTTGATTTACTTATATATGTGATAGTATAGTTTTCAGTAATAAGGATAAACAACAAATTTGTGCAATTTTTATGAAATTAATAAGATACGTATCTTGAAGCTCATCTTTTCTTTTTCCTTCAATAGATTTATCGACAATCTATCAAAAATATTTATTGCAAAATTATAAAAAAAGAAAAAACCCATACGAGATCGAGGACTCAGCATATGAGTCATAAAACATCTCACCCGCGTAGCCGATAACTCAGTATATGAGTCACGTACAGCCGGGGTATAAACATTGCCAACTGCAAGGGCACGTACAGGGAATAGTTTTGTAATAGCACCACAGGCAAGGTGTATACATAAGAATAAGTGGCCCAATTTTCGGGGGTCTTAAAATCCTTATAATTTTAGTGCCAATACTACAAACAAGGTATGTATTTAAGATATTAATGAAATTTTGTGATATTATAGAGGGCATTGGGTTATGCAAGAAATAATTTGTCTTTTCGATTGGTTTTCACTTTAGGGGGTTAAACCCCCCCTTAAATTTTTCGTTTCTTCAGTATATGTATCCCGTTAACCGTAAAAGATAGGAAGAAACTTGTAATGAGCGACTTTCATGGTTTTTTGTGCACAATAACATGGTGCTCACAAGTTGTCCGAAGTACAATTTGGTTATAACAAACAAATTTTGTATAGCTTTATTTTACACCTTATTCAAATTTACATAATGACAAAAAGTGACAAGCATTTCGTTTTAAATCCATTGGTACATATATGTATGAAATTGCCTCCTACAATTTCACAGGTTTTTATTATCTATATGCCGTGCGCACGCCCGTTGACAATAAGTAAATAGTACGTCATTTATATGAACTTCACAGACCCTACTGGGCCCTGGGTAGTGATGGGTAGTAGAGCCGAGCAGCTCGAGCCGTATCAGAATCCAACGATTCACCGGCTCGGTTCGGCTGGTTGAGCGAACCAAAATGGCAGTTTTATGAGGTGACAGTGGAGACGAGGGCAGTGATGCCAGAATCGTGGTACTGTTTACCCCCACCACTCTCCCATTCCGACGTACCGTACCGACGACGTACCGTATTTTAATTTTTTTATATACAGGGTGTCCCACGCAACTGGAACAGGCTCTACCTCCTAAACGGTTGGGAATAGAAGGAGATGTTGTAAGTAAAACTTAAATGGTATCAGACGGTGCATAATACGCAACCAATTTTATGCACTTTTGTGCATCGATGCATCAGAAAAATGCAACTGAACTTTTTTTTTAAATAGAAACCTATATTTTTGACTGGACCAATCGATACAGTTTCTTGTGCTCTACACAAAAGTACTAACATACTTATGCCCTAAACTTATTTTTTAGAAAGTTATCCAAGCTAAAAGTTTTCTGAATTACTTCGGTCTCTCGGCAAGTGTTCAGTACCTAAGTTATGTTCCATTACTTTTTGGCTACACCGTATTGGGTCAGTGGTAGCAAATCTAGTGAAATCACTCAACGGTTGCGCAACGATTGTGTCTTCTGAACGCAGCCTAGGTCCGCCTATGTGAGTATGCTTACTCCTGGCACCGGTGTTTTTCCACGTGGTCTCAAGTGACATATCGTAATAGTAGGCAGTATGGCTAATTCGTGCAGAAATAAAATCAGTGATGAGGAAATTGAAATTTGGTTATTGACAAATTTAATTCATAACGAAGGTAAATGAATCATTTTAAATTATGCAAATAGCTTGGTATGTGTAGTATTAGGTTATGCTCTGTTATTCATACTTTTGGAGGTTTCTCTCGATTATAAATTTCTTTTATTTTAGATTATGAATTACCACTTTATATAAAGAATATATTAAATGGACAATATGAAGATGTTTTAAATAGTGAATTGTCTTTAAATTTAATCGAGTCATGCAATAATGATGACTTCCACAAACTAGTGCACAATGGTATAGAAAGAGAAGTCATCTCACATAATTCTTGGCTATGTATGGGGGTTGCTTCTTTGCTATATTTTATCCAATGTAATTGGACAGGTCCACAAATTGATAAAAGCATTGAATGGTTGAAATGTCAAGAAAAGAATGCATTTGAAAGCTTATCTTTACACGATGAATGTAACACAAATGTAAAAAGACCAGAGCTTCTTTGGTTTTCTAAGATAATATTTTCCCATGAAATCTTGCAAAATACTCATAAAAGCTGTATTTGGTGGTTATTTAGAGCAAACCTCTTGCATCAATTCATTTTAAATGAAAGCTCTGGTGTAATATTTGATGAGACAGAACATTTAATTGATAAAATCAATGAATTGTCTCTATTAAAAAACCAGTTTTGTAAAACACTCTTTTGCATAGAAGCTGCACAGTTTTATTTTTATTACAGAAGAATTCAAAATTCAGAAAAGTATGTTGAATTTGCTCAAGAAACAGCCAAATTAAGTTTAAATCTTGAAGGTGCTCTAGGCAAACGTACAAAATATCAACATGAAGATAAAGCTCAACTATATTTAAAAATAAATGTAGAGAAAAATCAGTTTCCTTCTAGATGTTGTGAAAACTTACCAAAATCTCTTGATTTACATGATGATGTCAGATTAGAACACATTGAATTTTCAAAAAATATTGAGGGCACTCAATTAGGAGCAGTAGAAGAAGCTATCATATTGGCAAAGCAGTAAGATTATATTTTATTAATACATTGAATTGTAGTTATAAAAGGGACATAGATTTGATGAAATATACTTTTCATAGTGTTCAATTGCAGTTATCGCAACCAAAGGATAAGTTAACAGATGAAGAAGTTAAACCCTATTTGACAGTAAGTACATTAGTATTATTTTATTTTCAAGTTATAAGTAATTAAAAGTAATTATTTCACAGGCTGTAATAGACAGTACAAGAAACTGGTCTTTGAAAATGGCTTCTTTGTATCATCGTTGTATACTAGAATTGACTGACAAAAGAGCTGTTGAACGATCAATGATGCAATTAGAGCATTTAATACATGAATTAAAAAACACAAAAGTTTCTGTTATCCACAAAATGGATATGTTCTTTGCATGTGGTCTTAAGGCTTTTTGGGTGTTGGAACAAACATGGGCACATGTCATGATGAGTCTTGGATTGGTAAAAGGGGCTTTGGATGTTTTCTTGAAGCTTGAATTATGGGAGGAAGTCATCAACTGTTATAGTATATTGGAATTAAAACATAAAGTATATTTTTCAACTTGCATCACATTTACATATGTGTACACAATAAACTTTCTCTAAATATTTCTTAAACAATTATAGGCAGCAGAGATCATACGTCAAGAAATATCTAAGAAACCAACGGTTCAGTTATGGTGTTTATTGGGCGATGCAACTCAAGATCCCAGTCATTATGTGACAGCATGGAAATTATCCAACGAAAAAAGTAGTCGTGCTCAAAGACACTGGGGATTATTTTACTTTGTGAAAAAGAATGTTGGTGTTTAAGTAGTTAATGCAGAATTCAAGTTTCGATGTATGACATGATAGGATAGCTAAATAAACTCGAAATCGTTTTACTTTTCAGTACAAAGACGCCATACCACATTTAAAATTATCAGTTGAATTAAATAATATTCAAGAGGGTGTTTGGATAAGACTTGGATTTGCAGCTTTGCAAACAGAAGACTGGAAATTAGCAGCAACTGCATACAGGCGTTATTGTGCCTTGGAACAGTCGGTTTGTAGTATTCTGTAATATCTGTAATCTAAGTATCAATTATTGTAAATTTACAAATTCTACACATTCATTGTAGACATTCGAGGCATGGAATAACTTAGCGAACGCTTATATAAAATTAGGAGATAAAAGAAGAGCATGGAAATCCCTTCAGGATGCTACAAAATGCAATTATGACAGTTGGCAAGTTTGGGATAATTTAATGATTGTTAGCATTGATTTAGGACACTTTGCAGAGGTATGTGTATAGCACATTAGAATAATGAAATTCACTATCTAAGTATAAGTTAACGATAGGTAATTATGACCGTATCAACCTCAACTTTTATTTACGTAGGTAATACGTTGTTATCATCGTATTTTGGATCTCAAGAATCATCATTTGGATATCCAAGTTCTTGACATATTAACTCGCGCTATACTAAATAATATAAACGATTCCGATGGGAATCCTGCGCAAACATTGCTCTTGAAAGCTTTAGAGTTGTTTGGAAGAATTAGTTCTTTTACGCTCAACAACTCTCACATTTGGAGAATGTATGGACAGCTTACAGCTCTTAAGCACACGGACATAGACAATGAAAAAGCAGCACAGTATTTGCAGCAAGCTCATCGGGCTGCTATTTCAGATCCCAAATGGTTTCAACAAGAAGAGTCAATTGAAAATGTTCTACAGTTGTGTTGCATATTAGCAGAAATGTATTTGAACTGTACTTCCGATTGTGAAGTTAAGAAAAAACGGACATTATTGGCAAGTGCAAAACTATCTCTTCAGGGAGTTGTAAAAAAAGTTAAAGATCAAGAATGGAATAATGAAAAAATTCTAACGTGCTTGCAAAAAGTTGAAGAATATTTAAATACAATAATGAATGAATTAGAATTAATAAAATTAACGACTTAGATAAGTTATAAGATCTTGTACATTTATTGCAGTTATATATATTTTTTAAAAGATTAATTTAGATTATTATCTTTAATTGTAACAGTTTACGTACTTAGAATTGATTTTGTAACTTAGAAATGATATTGTGTTACTACAGATGCAGCGAATTTGTAACAAGAAAATGGAGTTTCCTACAGTTGAGATATTTACTATCTCAAACAAATATCTCTACTCCTTCCGGTCACATCTTCCGCCTGACCATTTTCTTAGATTTATGCAAAATAATTTACGGTGAAATTTCGTGAATAGCATATAAAGTGATATAAAATTTCTACTACAGAAGTAATCAAGGGTTGAGAAACACTGACAGATCTAGTACGGATTAAAAAGTGGTAGCGAACTGCAGATGATTACGGTGCTGCCCTCTACGATAAAAAAGAATTACCTCTCACGAACATGGTCCCGTGCGTGTGTGGTGGTGGAACGTTATTTCTGAGCTATTTTTCCATTTTCGCAAAATGGAAGTCGTGCGGCAAAAACGTGCTGCAATAAAAGGCCAAATAATTGGCCTTTATAAGGCTGGTTTTCCCAGCACAAACATCGCGACTATTATGAAGTGCAGTGAAAGAACTGTCAGAAAATACATAAAAAGTTATCGTGAGAAGGGTGAAGAGGGTCTTGTAGATAGACGGCTTTATAATGCGGGAAGAGCGCGTAAAACTACGGCTCAGGAAGATCATGCGATAATCAGAGAAATGAATCAAAATCCTTCTCAGAGTGCGTCGAGCGTTGCAACCAATCTTGATTTGCAAGTATGCCCGAGTACGGTGCGTGCTCGGTTACGGGAGGCCGGATACCCTTTTGGTCGATCTCCACGTAAAATACGTGTACAGGTAGGTTCAAGAAAACTTACGCTCCACGAAGGATACGTGACAGTCGCCCCTAGCGTGTTCTGATTCTCGATTGGTCGAATGCGATTTCTTGCGCGCTAAGAGACTCTTATGCATTTGTAGTAGTTTGGACACGTTTTTTTGAATAAGGTGTGTACCGTGTATCCTCACGAGCAAACTTGGCTTCCGCTAAGGGAAAACGTGGCGTAAAAAAAGGGCTTTCTACCACTTGGCAAAATTTATTTCAAGTATTGAAATAAATGTTAAACCGAATGTTAATTTAGCATAAATTTCAGTAATTCCCGATACCAAGTGGTAAAAAGCCTTTCCCGTACGTCACTTTTTTCCCTAACGGAAGCCGAGTTTGCACGTCAATGTATGTCGACATTGATTACCGACTGAGCTCCGCACGTGTACTGTTTGGATCCGCTGATACGGCTATGAGGTAACATCTGTCACACGGACATGTTTTATGTATCTGTGTTGGTGGAACGATATTTCTAAGCAGAGGGCACACTTGCTTTGATAATCGCACGATAATTATATAATTATACAAGAAACATAAATAATACAACATTTTTTATCGCAGTATACTGTGTTTTTTTTTCGTTTTCGTGTTTTCACTATCACCATCCTTAAAATTCCAATTTATGTATCTGACAGTCTTATATAAGCTACAATCTTCCTACAGTTAATATACGATAATACAATTCACTACCTACTATCAGTTGCTCAACATAAAATTGGACTGAACGACGCAGCTATTAGTTGAATAACAACCAAGAAAGTGCAAAAACTAAGAGTACTTTTTTAAGAATATTTTAAAGTCCTACTACACGGTTGGTACTTCACACCACAACAATTATTTTTGTATTGAAAGTCTTTAATTGTTTAGTCAGTTTAGTGTATCAAAAGATTTATTACATTCGTTATTTATTTGAAAGTTGAAAAAAAACAGTATTTTCTACGAAAAGGTGTATTTTATAGGTGATACTGGTTAAAGTTGAATGTACTTTTATTTTAGATGGCATTTTCGGGAAAAGTTGTGTTAATAACTGGAGCCAGCTCTGGTATTGGAGCAGCAGCAGCTGTGCACTTTTCTCAGCTTGGAGCATCACTGTTATTAACAGGTCGTAATTTAGAAAATTTAAATGATGTTGCTAAGAAATGTAAACCTAATAAACCGATTATTGTAACTGGAGAATTAAATAATGAAGCTGATGTAAAAAATATTATCGATGCTACTATTAAGCACTACGGTAAATTAGATGTTCTGGTTAACAATGCGGGTATACTGGAAAATGGAAGCATAGAAAATACTTCTCTGGAACAGTATGATAGGTGAAAATCTACTATTTCTCGATATTAAAGTGTAAGAAAACGACATTAAAATATAAAAATATTTCAGAGTGTTCAATACAAATGTACGAACAGTATATAATTTAACGATGTTAGCTGTTCCTCACATCGTAAAAACTAAGGGTAATATTGTGAATGTATCAAGTGTTTGTGGAATAAGAGCATTTCCAAATGCTTTGTCATATTGCATGAGTAAAGCAGCGGTTGATCAATTTACAAGGTGTATTGCTCTTGAACTTGCAGAAAAACAAGTATGTATTATACATAAAAATCAAAAACAATTCTTAATTATAGTGATGGTTATTGTACAAATTTTATTGCCGTTACTTCTTAACTTACAGGTACGAGTAAATGCTGTGAATCCAGGTGTTGTACAAACAAATCTTCATAAAAGAAGTGGAATGAAGGATGAACAGTTAAAATCATTTTTTGAACACAGTAAAGATACTCATGCACTTGGTAGAACAGCAGATGTTACTGAAGTAGCAAAAACAATTGCATTTCTGGCAAGTGATGATGCTAGTTTTATTACAGGTGCAACTGTACCCATAGATGGTGGTAGACATGCCATGTGTCCTCGTTAATTTGCATTCCCTTAAAATTGATTTCGAACAGAGATTAATTCCAATATCGATACATTTATACAGTTTCTAAGATACTATATTTTTTACTGAAAAATGTTGTTACATATGTCAAGGTTAATGTGTTTTAATAAATGTATGATTTCTCAGCATATGTTTCCTTGTTTGTTAATTTCTATAAGGTATTATGTATGGTTTAAAAAGGATTCAATATATTAATTATCAATTGATTCAAAGATTTGTATTACTATATTGATTCAAATATGTAAAAGTTATGCCAATATTGAATGTAAAACATTTGTTAACAAACATTTTTTATAAGTATGAGTAATACATTTTTTAGCCTATTAAGGAAAATTATATGGATAAGATAATGACACAAGTGAATGTAAGAAAAATAAAATTTGGTTAGATTAAAATTCTTATACAAAAATTTATATACAATATGTATATACGTACATACATATTGTATATTTACAATCTGCATCTTGGAATAATCTCAGTAGAAGCGTAACAGCTTCTGTCACTAACAGATACATAAAAGTAATTTTTACTCCAGTAGGATGTAATAAAATATAAACAAAGGATAACAAAACTAAAATGATAACCTTTAATGTCACTATAATTATTAAGACAAGGGCTCTATGTTACAGGATAAATATTCACGCGTTGTATAGGTATTTGATCATATTATATACTTACACACATACACACACAACATAGTTCTTATTTCAGAAAAACTATTTACACACACAATTATATATATCCTCTGTAAACAAGTGTTTGTTGTTTGAATTGACTCTATATGAAGGAGATTACAAAGTATTTATTCATGCCACGTTGCATTATCAACAGTTTATCTTGTGTCAAGACTATATAAAACAAAGTAACAAAATCTTACGTGGACAGTTGTGAGTCAGAGGTGACAGATAGGCACTGGGCACATACATATTGGGCAGTATGTGTACCAAAACTTTACCGTATTTTTTATCCGGATCAGTGGTGAAAGGTTTTGGCAGAGGTTCCAAAGCCTTAGGAATACCAACAGGTAGGTTTCGAGATTTTAATTGTACCAAACATATAAAAAAATTGATTAATGGAAAATAATTTAAAATGGATTTGACGCTTAGGAGATAGCATAGTGTCTTTAACTAAAGTAATCGTTTTAGCTGTACATACTGGCGGGAAAATATAAAAATAAAATTATTTTAAACTGCTTACTTGTCGTATAGCAATTTGTAGTTTACTGAATACATAGTGTGGTTTACTATTTGTGATTACCATATATGTAATTAAAATGCTATATAAATAATGTTTCGAAATATGTGTCATAATAAAAGAAGAAGTACATCTTTGAAAAAAACTAATATAATGCATGAAATCGTTTTAAAATATTATTTTTTCATAGCAAATCTCGAAGATAAGATAGTTGATGCTTTACCTAGCGATTTTAAAATTGGAGTCTACTACGGATGGGCTTCTGTAGACGCAAAAGTTTATAAAATGGTTGCAAGTGTTGGTTGGAATCCGTTTTACAAAAACGAAAAGAAAACAGTGGTAGGAATTCGGACGAAGATTAAAAATTAGTTGAAATTTGATATTACATGATATCCAATAATTTTGACATTGTATATATATTATTTTTACAGGAAGTTCATCTTCTTCAAAAATTTGAAAATGATTTTTATGGGAAACAAATTAAAGTAATTTTCGCAGGTTACATACGTTCGGAACAAGACTTTACTTCCGAAGGTCAATTAATTACTTATTTTGTATCTCAGTCAATATTCTTTACAAAATTTTACTCTCAATAAAACATATTTTCATTATTCCAGAGGAATTGATAAACGCAATAAATAATGATATTGCTGTCGCAGAAAAAGAACTGCAACAACCGTGTATAAGTGCTTATAAAGATGATAAATTCTTAAAAGAATAACCTACAAATACAATTTTTAATACTGTATTGTATAGAAATTACTATAAATTAAGCTTACATTTTCAAAGTTGACAGCATGCTAGGTCTGAATTAGAAAATAGTACATTTTAATATGTATGTGTTATATTTCAAACATATTAATTAAGTATGTATAGTATTATACAAAAGAGATTTTGTACCAACATACGTAACATATAAAACTAACTAATTGTCTAATATACGAATAATTATTTGTATTGTACCTATAGTATAGTATTTATATATACGAGGCTACATTGTAAATTACATAATAAACAAAAATATCAAATTATTTTCTTACATATATTTCTGTAAAATAATTGATCACGTTAAAAATGTTCAACTTGTTTCTGACGATGAAGGTTGTGGTGAAGATGAAGGGGGTGGTGGTGGTGGTGGTGGTGGCGGAGGTGGTAAGGATACCCATTGTGTATTTACTTTCGCAGGAACTTGCAGCATTTGTGGTTGCCAGGTAGCACTGGCATTTCGAAATCTTATATTTGAAGGTGAAGTTGCTTGATTTTGAAAGAGTGTATGTCCCGGATGAACTCTTGGGCATGCATTGTAAGGAATTCTGGGATTTAAAGGCACTGCTGCACCATTTTCATTATAATAATTATGTGGACTATAAAAATTCTGATTAATATTATTTACATTAGAATTTACATATTGCATTGCCTGCAATGCAGGTGGATACATCCCATACCCATAATGTTCACTGCCATCTGAATGCAAACCTCCTGGAACATTTGACCAATTATTTTGATAAGGATGTACCCACAGATTCTGTGACTGATTTCCAGTCTGCATGGACGAAAACTGTCTTTGATCTCCTCGTGGATTATATCCTTTTCTATTTCTTTGTTTATTTCTATTCCAAGGATGATTTGATTGCCAACCAGTAATGGGACCTACAAGTACGAGTATTATGTACACTCAAAATACTAAATACTGTTGCACAAGAACCTTACTTGTAGCACGTTTTCGTTTAAACGGTATATCTCCTTCATTTGTCTTAGAGCTTTGTTTCAATTTTTCGTAATAAACTCGTTCCTCCTCGTCATCGGAAAATTCTGGAGGTTCATCCGCATTTGCATCTATTCCTCTAATTCTAAATCAATTATAAGGTATTAAGTGTTACACAGCATTATTAAATTAGAGTAACATAATTATATATAGACCTACTTGATTAGTTCATGTAAAAATACTAAGGATGTGTATTCTGTATTTGGACAATAATAGACAGTCATGCCTACTTTGATATCACATTGTTGAATGTGTTCTGAGCTATTAAATCTCACACAATAATGTGGCTCGCTCACTTGACCAAAAACATCAAATATTTTACCTAATGCTCGTTGCCCTTTTTCAACAAATAAAAGTGTATCCAAATTTAATGTTGGTTTACCAGACTTTGGACGGACAACTACTAATTGTTCCACCATCCATGCTACCTAAAATTTTTTGTTGAATCTATCATATTTGTTCATATTTTAAATTCTGTAGTATCACTGAAAATTAATAAATACCTCTCCTAATGGATCACACAATACTTCTGGCACACTAATTTTTAAATCTTCAATAGGTGGTAAGTCATCCAACTCGCTTTTCATTTCATTACTCTTTTGTTCTTTTGTGTTATTTTTCTTAATTTGTCTAGAAGTATAAACAAAAATTATAATCTGAAAATTAATAAAAATAAGAATTAAAGAAACTCTTACTTATTTGTACTATCTTCGTTATCTGAATCACTTGATACAACTGATACTGAAGAATCGCTGCTACTACTAGAATCATCTTCACTATCACTTTCTTCACTTGATGACTCCTTATTATTAGTTCTATATGGTTGCATTTGCACCTCCATGGATACAGTAATTTGATCATTTTCATGGTTATTGTGAACCACAGTACCTTCTGTTTCTGAATCAGAATCTCCATATTCCAAGGCAATAGTTGAGAGAGAAGATAATTTATCATTTGCTATAAAAAAAGAATAATGAATCACAATGTTTGTTTTTGTTAAAAATTATAGACATAATTTTTATGATCAAATGTTTCATACCATTCATCTTCTCATGTATAATGCAAATATCATCATTTTTTTCTTTCAAGTCTCCCCTTGGCAAATCTTCATTTATACCCTGATTGTTCTTGTCGCTGTCAATAGACACTTCATTATAATTTACACTTCCCTTAATAAATGCTTTCCTTTGTTGATCACTTGTATTATCTCCATCATTACAGTTCTGTTTATTTACTGTACTGTTTTCGATTGAGACTATTTCACAGTAGTTTGTATTTTGATTGGTTTCAAGGTCATTGTGTTTTAAATTTTTATCTTGCACCATTGATAAATTTTCAATAATAATTGGCGTATCATTAATTTCTTTAGAGTTCAATGATTGTTCATTGGGTTTTTCATATGAAATACCTCCTATAACTTCCTCTATTATAACCTCATCCGATTCCATTGTATGTAATATTACTAATATATATTTCTTTTTAAAATCAAAATGTTTAATAATAATAATTTTTACACGCAGCTCTCATCTTGGAATGCACCAATACCATTAATATATTGTATGTAATTATTTTTATATAATTCTACAAAGAATGGATAAATAATAAATATTCACCAAAGCGACCACGTGTATACGCAAGTATCACCGGCTATCGGTACATAAATGAGTAAATCACTGTATTACGCACGCGTGCATGATAATCATACTAACATAAATAAATATATAATTCAAGGATCTATTTTGAAAAATCATTTTTATTCTTAAATAAAATTGGCAGATGATTAACGAATATCATTAAAATAATAACATTTTTAGTAACAAAAACAAACATTTATATTTAAAATTTCAGTTTTAGAAATTATTTCTTTCCATTCCATGTATATAAATAAAATAGTGTACATTTGCTTTTAACATTGCAATGAATCAATGACATAATTTAATACTACTATTTAACAAATTTTAGTCTATTCTAATCTTTTGTTACTACATTCACAATTGTCTGTATAATTTTTCTTCCATTTTGATGATTTAAGAGATTTAATAGGGGATCTTTCATCTTTTCTTCCAATAACTTGACCAATTCTTTTCTGATTCGTTGTAAAAGTTGACCAACCTAAATACCATTAGTACAGTTTAGAAAATGAAAAATTTTCTTTCTGTAATTTCTAGTAAAACTTAATAATCTTACCCTATGTGATTCGACACTAAACAAGATCCAACCATCTTCTAATGATACAATAGATAGTCCATTATGTAGTTCTATGTTTAATTCATAGCCAGAAAACAAAATTAACAGTAAGATTGGCACCATTGTGACTTCCTTAATAAATATTTTACTCGTTTTAATTTTTTCCTGAAATACTAAATACGGACTAGGGAAGTAACCAACATGAAAGTTAACAGAGGATGGATGAACACTGACGAAACCATCGCATTTTGTTTGAAATCGAAGTTCTTCTGGCCTAGGTTGTACTGGAATTGCTCCAGCAGACTGTATTTGGAAGGATTTCTCCGGTGTTAAAACTTTCACAACATTAGGATAAAGAGCAGCACAAAGTAAACCCTGGAGAAGTTTATAATTATCATTATTGATGTTTAGTTCAACACCAGTTATTTCTAAGACTTTATCAACGTTTGATTGCCGTTTGGGCAAATTAACGGGAACAAACCCAATCGAAACTAATAATTCTAAGAATTGATACTTTATGTCCGCTAAGGTGTACAATGTGCGTATGGATAAGTAGTTTTCATTAGCGAAAACTTGTCCAGCATAATTACTGCGAGCACATGTTTCCAACCATTTCTACAACAAATAAATAGAAAAATCGACAATAACTTTTCTATATTATTATACGGATCTATATAACCTTATGTATTTACCTTGTACGCTTTAAGAACAGTTAAGTGATCAGAGTTGGCTGTATAAAATTCTTTCTTGGCATCTATCTCGTGTCTTTTCTCAAAAGGTATGGTGAATGGAGATTTATGGGATAAACAAGCTGCAATGGTGAGTGCAGAGTCAAGACAACAAAAGATTGCTCCAAATAATATTAGTTTCCCGATTCGTACATCTACAGGCAATGCAGCAAGATGATGGCCTAATGGAGTCAATGTGCATTCAGAATTAAACGCTCCGACATCTTGTAAACGTTTAATAGCGGTACGAATATTTTCAGCTGTTGGCGGTTCTAACATCTTGCCTGAACGAAATACAGTATTATATTTAATATGTACAGTTGTGTATGGCAAGAATGTTAAAATTGGTAATTGTTATTACCCAAAATTTGATATGAATCTATTTTTCGTCCTTTGTGTAAAAGTTGAATGCGTAAAAGTAACGGCTCCAAAGGAATTCGTAATATTTCAGGCACCGGTTGCGTTGAAAAATGATATTTAAACCTGAAAAAATACGAAACATCCGATTTTTATTGTTACAGAGTATAAAGGTTTAATCGAATATTAAACAAATTATACACACTTATACGAGGTATACAAATGAATGCATACTCCGGGCATCACACGCCCAGCTCGACCTTTTCTTTGCAATGCGTTTGCTTGAGACACCCAACATGTCTCTAAGCTTTCCATGTTTTGGTTTGAATTAAATCTAGTTTCTTTCATTTTTCCACTATCAATTACGAAAACACAATCGTCTATAGTAATAGATGTTTCAGCTAAATTTGTGCTGAGCACTATTTTCCTGACGTCTCCAGTCTTTTTAAAAACTAAATTCTGCTCTTCGTTGGATAAACTCGAATGCAATGGTACAATAATAAATTTTCCAGTCTTCGGTGAAAGATTTTTATTGTCGTTCAATTGATTTTTTAAAGTAATAATTTCAGCAAATCCCGGTAAAAATACCTAAAATTTGAAATGCCAAATATGATGCGCCGAGTTACGAATGTTTCGAATGTAATAAACTGTACTTACTAAAATCGAGCCTGTTTTGGGATAATCGTGCAATCCAAAACAAATCCATTCCACTATTTCCTCTATCAGTTCAAAATTAATTTTTTCGTAGTCCATCACATACAAATTTTTATGCGCCTGTCTACTGTAACATCGATATCTATTGACAATTTGCGTTAACGTTAAATTTTCATCTTGAATCGATTCTTTAACTGCAGCAGCAGACGCGCCTTCCACTTCTGCAGTTTCTAGGTCTATTTGCAACTGTTCCCAGTCGCCTTTAATTTTGCGTGTGTATTTCGAATTTTCTTCGAGTACATAATTTGTCCATTCGAACACATCTTCCAAAAAGATTTGTTCCACAGGAAACGTTTTTCCTGGAATACACAAAATAGGAGCTTCTCTAAAGTATGAGGAAAAAGCCTCTGCTTTGAGCGTTGCACTCATAAGTATTACTTTCAGGTTTGATCTTTTAGTCAGCAATTCCTTTAAGAGCATCAATAGGAAGTCGCTAGATGAAAAATTGTAATGTTTAGGTAAAAATGAAGCAATTAATAGAGTAAATAAACTAACCTTTCTGCGCTTCTTTCATGGACTTCATCAACAATGATATGAGTCGCGTCTGTCAAATCTGGATTCATAGATAATCTTTGTAATAAAATTCCAGTCGTGCAGAATGTTAATCTAGTTTTATTAGACATTTTGCTCTCCAATCGTATTTGATATCCTATTGTGTCACCTATCCGTTCATCTCTTTCTGCCGCAACTCTTTCCGCAACTCCTACAGCGCTTATCCTTCGAGGTTGCGTGCATATTATATTAACATGTTCTTTTGATTCAGATCTATTAAGAATCCAATCATCTAATAGAAATTGTGGCACCTAAAATATTACATGTAACAATAAGTAAATCCACTAATGTTCTTTAATTACAAGGGGATGCATTTTAATTTAAAAATGTTTTCCCAACTTTTCGATAAATAAAAGTGCTGTGAGATGTCAGGAAATCGTTTACAGTATAGATATTTAACATCTACAGTACACATAATGAGTACTGATTTCTCCAAGAAATAGTGGATTACTTTCTTCAATCTAACTTAAACCCACACAGTACTAATAATTGTAATTACCTGTGTACTTTTACCACATCCTGTTTCACCTGAAATTATGGTAACTTGATTTTCGTATACCGTTTCTAAAATGTTACCAATTTTAGACCATGCTGGCAACTTTCTCCTAACTTCTTTCATCCTTTTGTATTTAGGGCTATCCTGTTTTTCTTTAAAATTTTTATGAATTAGGTCGTCCGTTTTTAATATTTCCTCCCAAGTAATGTTGTCTCTGTTCCTTCTATTGATAGAACCTAGTTCATGATGCGTGGCAAGATCTCCTTCGTCTTCGGTTTTTGACAATTTCGGAAAAAGTAAATCATTCTGATCCAAAAATGATTCTTTATTTTCTTCTAAATATCGCCTTATTTCAAATTCATTTTCCAAAAGAGATATAATAGAAAAAATAGATGGAGTGCCATCTTCGGCTAACGATAATGCTTCATTGTATAATCTTCTTCCTATTCTTAAACAATTTATACTCGAAAATGTACCATCATTTTTATAAAAGTAGAAATATGGTGGTTCATACGGGTATTTACAACCTAATAAAACGTAAAAAAACAGTTGCTCTTAAAAGTAGAAAGTTATCAGAACATTATATTTCAGTTACATAATGTACTTGATGTCATGTAATACCTTCAGGAAATCTTATTTCTAATGTAAAATTTGGATCCTCTCTTTCAGGCATTTTTAACACCTGCGGTTGCTGATGTAGGAATCTACACTTATTTCCAAATCTACACTTCTTAAGAATAAATAATCTGCAAACTTCTTTCTCTTTTATTTTCTCTTGTTGTTGTTTAATCCTGCTTATCTCTTGCTCTATCTCAACATTTCTTACCAAGTAATCTAATTCAACTTGCACAGTCCAAATTTGGTTTTTTATTTTTTCTGTAAACATATCTCCATAAATAGATTCAAGTGCTTCTTTCTCATCTTGTCGCCTTTCTAGCATGTCTGTTGTATCAGTATCATTAGATACTTTACTCCTTACAATATTTTCAATTCCATAATATTTATAAAATAAAACTTCTAGAGCTTTTCCCATGTCATCTTTTGAGTGTATTAATGCTTCAATGCAATGCGATTGGTGGAAGCTGAAAGTATTGTAACTGATTAGAACGTACGCTAAAATTAAGAAAAAACTTTTTCATTTGAATTCCTTGATATTTACCCATAACTTTCAAGCTTATTTGTTGCAAATTGTCTAGTAATTTGTTCCTGAGTTTTAGGTGTAGTATCTTTAGAAGAATAATCAACTATTCCTTTAATAACTAAGTTTCCTCTTTCTACCCAATATTGCTTTTCCAGGTTTGATTTTTTAATTTCAAATTCCGATGCATCAGAAAGTTTAAAACTCTGTGAAAAATCTATGTTATTTTCCGATAATATATTTCATTGAATGGTATGTATTATGATAGATTATTAAAAGTGTTTATAATACATACAGAACCATAGATGTGTTTCAAAGTATCATACAGTTGTCGTTCAGATTCTTCAGATATTCTTAATGTTTGCAGTTCTACTTTAAGCTTGCTTGAAATGCGAGGACTTTCATTTTTAGATTTATTTTTACTTGATGAGTTCCTGTTAAAAAGAAATTTCTTTTGCATAAGGCATTGTAAAATCATTATAATATAGAAAATGATAAAACAATAATTTTTTTTATTCGAGTTTCTTTCATTTAAAAAATAATGGGTCAGCAATTACTTTGTATTACTAACCCTTTAATAATTTCCATTCCAATTTACAAAGGGTTCTATATTCAACTTACGTGATATTCTTTGCAACATTTTTTACTTCTAATGAAATGTCTTCCATCAACTGAATACTACTATGATCCATTGTTAAAAATTGAAACTGACTGCTTCTGACATAAATTAGTTTATAAAAATATTTTTACTTATATCTTCGAATATTTGGGAAAGACTGAGGTTAAGAAGATGTAATGTGTAGCTGGTAATGACAGTTGAGTAGCTACGAACGCTACGAACAGCTACGCTACGAACCCTACAAACTGCTAGAGGGCTACAGCAGCAGGCTACAGACAGTATTATAAGTTACAAATGGCAGAATTTTTTTGAATCCATATCTTCCTGCATTTAGTTATAATTTTGTTTTCTAAATTCCACTCCATAAAAGGTAAATACACATCTGGTTGCATGCACATTATTTCAACAAATTTTTACACTTTAAGTCATTGTTATCCAATAGAATAAAATAAAGTTTCACACCGTGTTAAGCTTAAAATTTGTTTTACTATATTGGTATATTATACTGTCAATTCTTACTTATTATTGTTTCTAATTAAGACTCTGTTCAAAACCTAACCTAACCTCTTCTCGCATGTCATGAATTTGTTTCTATTTTTATACTGCACATTAGCTTATTTCAGGACTCGTTTATCCTACGATTTTTGTATACTTGGGAGCCCATAAGTTGTCGACGAATCAAATTCGGTGGTGACGAAGAGAGCGAACGGAGCACACGAAATCAACTGAAACAGAGCGATAACAGAGTAGTCACGTGATAATGACGTGTAACACGTATAAAACGTAGCGCCTTGCAATGCTGACCATTGGCCGGCGAGATACCACTGTTTCCCCTGTGTCGTTCAGCTTATTGGGGCTCCGTAACTTGTCAGCTCCCAACTATATACTAACCACGTTGCGATCGAGGTTCATTTTCTATCGATTACCTTCTCATTTTCAATTGAGACCATAGACATATATAGACGGAGCATGAACTGAGCGAGGAAGTAAGATTCGCGGTAAAGGGTAGTAATCCGTGACTGCCACGCAGCCACTCTTTTACGACACGTTCATCACTCGTTGCCTTACTGCGTATGTGCACAACAGCAGTCAATAGAAATTAGGGCCACTTTTACCTCGTCGCCCCTCCCGCAACGGATGTTTGATAATATTTTTTTGGTGACGAGGGGAAACCTTGAAAAGACGGTACCGTCTTCGCTGAGGGCGGAGACGACCTGTGCGAGATTTCACGACACTATAACCCCCCGGTGTTCTTTTCGGGCGTGAGGGCCGGTCACGGAAACGCCGAAGCATACCTCCGCAACCGGCCCCGCCCATGCCCTCCCCAAAGGGGCGGGGACTCAGTAGGGGGAGGTTTCTGTTCCCCTTGGGACGGCTATTATATCGTCCCTCCAACACCATCCTACAGCGCCGTGGGGTTATCTCTCGACGCTGTTTTACTCTTGGCTGACCGCGACAGGGGTCGTACCATTCGTACCAGGTCGTACCCCCAGTCCCCAGTACCAACGCCTCGGCCCGGGCAACGTGAGGGGTCACCGCGGCAGTGACCCCGTAAACTCGCGCGCCCGCGGGGCGGCTGATTGTTTCTTAAGGGAGGAATGATATACAGGGTGGCCCACATAACTCTTAACAGCTCAATATCTCGAAACCTATGCCATCGATTTTAAAGTTCTTGGTCTTAAATTGCATGAATCTGAAGGGCTTTTCTAACTACATAAACGTGAAGTGGCCCCCCTTCCCCTTTAAGGGGGGGGTACCTTTATAATTTTAAATGGAACCCCCTATAAAACATTACATATTTAGATTCTACAGGAAAAAACAAGTAAAGTTTGTCTGATACATTTTTTTGTCAGATATTTCCATGATGAGATATAACAGTTTGAAATTTCGACTTGTAGGTACTTACTTGAAGCGCTCGGAAATTGCGTTATTGAATTATACGCGCTTGAGTCTTTTGCTTACTCGTGAAGAAATAAAATGTTTTTTAAATTAAATGTTCAAAATGTCCACCACGGGCTTGTAAACCTTTATTTACTCGAAACATCAAAGTTGTTCTAACATTTGTTAACATTTCGGGAATCACTGAAGCGCAAGTGTCACGTATTCTTTGTTTCATATTCTCTTTTGTCGTCGGCGGTTTAAACATAATTTTGTCCTTTACATATCCGCATAAGAAAAAATCTAATGGTGTTAAATCGGGGTATCGAGGAGTGAAGTTCCCCTTCTAGCTCCTTCAAATTTGCCTCAAATGAAAAACTAAAAATTTTTCTTAGTATCTATGAAGTTGTATCGTCGATGAACAAAAAATACTAATAAAAAGTAGTTTTTATTTTGATTTGCTTTCAATTTCATAAACGACTGCCTTATTATAACCACAAAGTAGTAAAAGATTTCCTTGGGGATGCCAACGGGTGTCCAATACAGTAATGTTCCGAGGAGTTGGTAGACATGTTGCATTATGAGGAGTCCATTCAAACATATGAGCACACTCGCAAAATATTAACAAATGGGCACGCGTAGGATTCCATTTTGCAGCTGAAAATCCATAGTACAATGTAATTGGAACGATAAAAACAATATATACGAACAAAAAATAATACTCACCCACGATATTATTTTCAAGAAGTAAGTAATCGAGATAGTCATCGATGATATTCCATATCCACAATGTTGTCGGATAAAGTTGATGTTGTATGGCTAAATATTGCCCGCAGAAACTGAATTCCAAAACATCGAATTTAGCGATCGAAAATCTGTCAATATCATTTTTTTTACTGATTCTTATATTTATTGGACGTTCAGATATTTCTTCCACTGTAAGTAGTTTGCAAGTTTTTTCAGTCTTACAATTAACACTATTTTCATAAATTTTACATTTCTTAAATATTACTTACAAATATGTTTATTGTATGAACTTGTGTTCGTACTTGATACCTTCGTTTGAATTGTATGTTCCTTATAAACTTTGTGTAAATAATTCTCTTTGATAACTGGATCAAGATACAATTGCAAAAGTGGTTTCCATGTCACGTGATTCAATAATATAATCTGTACAAAAATTTATATAAAGAAACTAGTTTGTCTACTACAATGGAAAATCGACAACGTAAAATATAATTGAAATGTATGAAATTGTACCATTTCATTAAATCCAGTTACTGCCAACAACTGCCCACTGGGTATCCATGTTACATGTTCAATTCCTATTAATTTTCGATGATGCTCATATTCTATTTCAGACGAGTCTGTACTTTGTGTAGGACAAAAGACTCCTATATCTCTGTCCAATACACTCGAATAAATAATTAACTTTAGTTCACTACAAAATGAACACCATATACATAATAATTCGCTATTCGGGGACCAACATATTCCATTGATACTGTTCAAACGTCCGCATATTAATTTCTAAAAATTATAATTAAACATAAAAAGTATTTCAGACAGCATTACGCTATGAACATACAAATATACAATTTATTTTATAAATTTTATTAACTAAAAGAAATTGACAATTATGTTACAATGTAACATTCAAACGCACAACATTTCGCGGCATAACACCATCGACATCTACATAGTTACTTTCACAGTTGAATAATACCATTTTTAAAATGAATGACGACCGCGTGTTCGTGTATATATTGACCATAGATTTCTGAGGTTATATTTATAATTTGACACTCGATTTGAATGTGTTATAAATATTAAATAGATATGACAACAAATTATATATCGTGTGCCTGTAATCGGGTGCCACATTCGGCAGATTGGGGAAGAAATGGCCTTATATGTTTTGCGGCCTGTCATGCTGTAGCAATTTACGATCCATTCATCTCAAAAATAGGAAAAGTGACAAGAACACTTCACCGGCATAAAGAACGCATTAACACGGTACGATGGGTTAAACGAAAGGATTCAAAATCCGAATGGGAACTGCTGTCAAGTTCTGTAGATGGAACTGCAATTATTTGGAGCAAATTAAGTGAATGTTTTGAATGTACTTCTGTCATCGAATCTGGAGATATCCTCACATTTAGTAACTCGTTGTATCTATCAACTCATGATTCTTTAAATGACAAAAGGTTCCCAGAATTATTAATATGTACTGGTTCAGTCCAAGGAGATTTAAAGCTATGGTTGAGAAATGCCTCTAACGATATAAAGTGCCTTCAAACGCTTATATTTGGGAAGAAGTTACCAATAGAAGTTTGCTTCTCTTATTTACCAAGTACAAATTTACCACTTTTAGCAGTAGCAACAGAAAGCTCAACAATTGAACTATATGTGACAAATTCTCACAATATAAAAGAATTCAATTTTGTAAAGGTTCAAATCTTAATTGGACACGAAGATTGGATACGTTGTATGGATTTTACTCATGTTACAAATGATAGTGTCCTACTTGCAAGTGGTTCTCAAGATGCTATGATACGATTATGGAAAATATCTTTAAACATTACAGAATCCTCAAATGATGAATTACGTCAAAAAGAACAAGTTTTTATTGTTAATAATATTAAATATAATATCACTTTAGAATCTGTTCTTTATGGACACGAAGGCTGGATATATGGCATACATTGGTACCCATGGCAACTAAATACTGAAAATAGAGTTTTAAGATTATTATCTTGCTCATTAGACAAATCTATGATCATATGGGAGCCAGATGAAATAACAGGTATTTGGTCGGAAAAAGTCAGAGTAGGCGAAGTTGGTGGCAATTCATTGGGTTTCTATGGATGCAAATTTAATGGTAATGGATTAAATATATTAGCACATGGATATCAAGGATCATTTCATATTTGGGAATATTCAGACAAAGTAAGAAATTGGATTCCAAAGTCTGTACCTAGTGGTCATTTCGCGGAAGTAGTCGATCTTTGCTGGGATCCCAAAGGAAGGTTTGTATGCAAAATTGAAACATCATTTGTGGGGAAAACTTCTACATTTGATATTCTATCACAGGTTTCTCATCACTGCAAGCACGGATCAAACAACAAGAATTCATGCTCCTTGGAAAGATAAGGCGATAGAATTTTGGCACGAAATCGGACGTCCACAAGTTCATGGATATGATATGTCCTGTTTAGTTATGCTAACTCCTTATATGTTTGCTTCAGGAGCGGAGGAAAAAGTTGTACGAATATTTACAGCTCCGGTAACATTTCGGAGTTCTTTAATGAAAATCGCTAATGTTGATGATTTTAAAACTACGGTAGCTGATGGTGCATCTGTGCCAGCTCTTGGATTAACAAATAAAGCCACGTTTGCTAATGATAGTAAAATAAAAGAAGCCGAAGCGAATGATCTTAAAGATGAGGATTATATTCCTCCAACAGAAGAAGAGTTAATGCAAAATACTCTATGGCCAGAATTGCAGAAACTTTACGGACACGGGTACGAAATATTTTCTGTAGCTGCTAGACATGATGGAACAATGTTGGCCACTGCATGCAAATCAGCATTACTAGAACATTCGGCAATACTTTTATGGAACACAAGTACATGGACACAAGTTCAAAAACTTATGTCGCACCAGCTAACAGTTACGCAAATGGAATTTTCACCTAATGATAGATATTTTGTATCTGTATCTAGAGACAGAAGATGGTCATTATTTGAATGCAACGATAATATGTACACTTTAATTGCAACCAGTTTGAAAAAAGATAGTCTTCACACTCGTATAATATGGTGCTGTTCATGGACACATGATTCATCTTTCTTTGCAACTGGTTCCAGAGATGGAAAGATTGGAATTTGGAGACCAGCCGATACAAGTAATAACATTATTCCAGTCACGAGTTTGAATGTAAAGAATTCGACCACAGCGCTCTCATTTTCTACTCAAAGCATTGCCGAACATTCTTATGTTCTAGCAATAGGGTTTGAAACAGGCTGCATAGAAATTCAGAAATTGAAAATTTCTGATAATACCTTTATATGGGAAAAGTATATAGCATATAATACTTCAGAAGCACATCATCTGACTGTAAAAAGGCTTAAATTTTGTCCACAAAAAGAAAATTTAAATACTTTACAGCTGGCAAGCTGCGGATCTGATCATACCGTTAAAATATATAACATAGATGTCGTGAAATTAAAAGACTTGTGAAATATTTGCATTTTTGTATAATAAAGTTATTTCAGCTAATCTGTAATAGTAAATTCTGAATACTTACTTTATATAATTTCCATGTATCTGTCTTATAAATTTCTATAGCGTCTTCACCTTCATTTGCAATTATTAGTGCCAATTTTTTGCCATTTGGACTAAAATGTAACTTATGATAACAGGACTTTACATTTTGTATATGAATTACATTCTGACTTTCTAAAGGCCATATAGATGTCTGAATCTGATGATTTTGTGTGTTTATAATTATTATGTATTTATAACAAATGTCTACTATTGGAACAAGAATTTATTTAACGAAATCTACTTCAAAACATAGGGTATGATGTATATAAACAAAATCTTAAATATTAGCTGTCAATGCTTCATTCTTGTTTGAAACATTAAACAGTAAGCAATTTGAGATGTTGACAGAAAAGAATAATTCAGAGAAATAACACATTTAAAACTGAATATAAAACATTATCCAAATATATTTAAAGTTTGATTACGGATCTAAATGTATTGCTCAAGCATTTGGTATACAACTGTTAATATTTAAGAATTTGTGAATACACATCAAACCTTATACATATTTTGCATTGGGTTTCATTAAAGAAATGCTTGTCTTAATTACAGACTTATATATAGATATCACAAAAGGTATTCACTTACATTGAAATCTGACAACGTTAAAATGTGTTTACTATCGAGTGACCAGGTAACACTTTCTAGACCGGTACTGCCTTCGACAAGTTTAAACTGGCATTCCGGATAATGAATGGAATATACTTCTATAATAGCTTTTTTTATGTTCGCACATAAAATATATTCACTGTTCCTGGACCATTCTAAATACTTTAATAAAATAAAAAATTAATAAGTGAAAGGCAATTATATTGTTATAAAACATTTTATTTTCTGTTATTAAAATCACAGACTAACCTCGATTATGTCAGGAAATACGAATGAGTGAATTGTCTCAAACGTTTTGCTATTTTTTGTAATTAAATTTTCTTGATACGCGAACGCAAAGAATCTTCCATCCATGGAAAATTCACATAATTGATTATTCACTCGTATTAATTGATTCTTCACTTCTAACGACATCATGCCATCTGATGCCATCGGTGAATGCATTACATGCACTACCTATGTGAAGTTAGCCGGATAACTATTTTTTTAACTTTTCAGTATACCCAATCGATTGGTGGTCGTTTGGTGGTTATTGGTGGTCTAATTAGAACATTTGGTGGTCACGCGTTCTTTTGTAATTAAACGATCAAAATTTGACCGTGAAGTTAGCCGAAAATTTTTTTTTCGCCGGATTAAGTTTTTTAAATGTTCAATCGATGCGTAATCGTTTGGTGGTCATTGGTAGCCTAATTATGTACAACCACAGACGAGATATAAGAATAGACCTAACATGCAATGTAATTTTCTGTCCCATGCTTCCATACTCCACATCCATACCCGACGTTACCGATAAATAAAACGGAAAAATATATATTTTTTCACTTGACTACAAGACAATTTATTCTAAATGCATCGTTAATGGACATTTTATTAATGTTACTTTTTACATGTTCTTGTTTTATTCGTTTTTATATCTTGCCTTACATTTGTATATTTGTAACAGATAAATTCAGAATAGATGTAGTTTCATAAATAGTTTATCAAATCTACCTTTTGGCCGGGGGCTTACAATTTTCCTTGCGGGAATGCCTTACCGTAATGAGACATCTCGTAGCCGCGGGATTCCGGGAATCGGGTGACGTCACGGCGTGCGAGCGAGAGCGGTAGAGTGAGCCGCGGTATCGGTGCTCTCCGTCGGTCCAACGCGCTAGTGACGTTGCGTCACACAGTTTATTGACCTAGCCGTGAACGCCGTGTACCA